TAGGATTTATTACCGTTATTATCATTATATTGTCACGTGATTTGTTTTACCTTATGTGTAATGTCTTAAGTATCTTTATTGTAATTTGTATATACCAATTCGTATATACCGAGGAAACGACCCCGATTGAAGGTCATGTATTTTATGACGTCACCAATTCGTGTGTAGGTACTGCTTCTAGATCTGTGCCGCAACTTATTGAGGGGGGGGCAATTACTTTTCATTGGGGGGCATATATTCGTAGACAATCTCATCTTTAAGGAAAGACATAATCTGCATTGGGGACACACCTGTCCGTGTCCCTGTGTCAGGATCACGTCATTCATCACCCACACTCTACATCCATCCGCACCCAGACCCCTACAACCCCCACATCACCCCATCCCCACCCCACCCAACCGACACACATTATGTAGTTAAGTTATCCCCGATTCGCAGATCATCACTTCGAAAATTCCAAGTAACAGGTAATCCAACTGATTGTCCCCAAAACTGGTACCGGTATATACTTACAATGGAAACGAAAAAACTGCCGTGTGATGCCAATTTTGCGGTCGGAGAATCATACATGGCGTGTTTATCACCCTGGGCAGCGCCATCTTTTTTTTGGAACTCCCTAGCTAAGACTAAAATGTCAATATAGCGCATATCATCAAAATCATATTCGAGGATCCCTTCTCCATATCGCTTTAATAATGGAGCAAATAATATACTGCACGGATTTAATAAAAAAAAATGCTTGTCCTTCTGCAGGGGTAAACTGAAAATTTGTTTTTGTCATGAACATAGCAATTGTGAGCAACTTGTGTGGTCGTATTTATACACTTGGTTGACTTGAAAAGATTGTAGCGTTATACTGGAATGGGAAACACTACTGTATTATGTTAGTTGACTTGTAATAATGCCATCAAGACTGTGTTATATGTGTCAAACCTTTAGCAGTAAACATAGAATTTTTGTCCTGTATAACATTTGTTATGGGCGAAAGAGGACGTTGGTTACCCAGGCTGCAGGACATCAGGTGATGAAGAGTACAATCGCAAAAGATGAGAATAGCCTATTGGTTGACAAGATTCCATGGCAACAAAAAGCCTCCTTATATATTCATGTAAGTTTATTGTTTATTCAGAAATGTAGCTTGATTATTATTATTTTTAAACAATCGTTGAATAAGTGTTTACAGTTCATATTTATTGCAGTTTATTAATTTATTCATTCATTCACTTCAACTTTCTTGTGAAACATTTATTGGTAGAAAGTTTGTTGAACCATGGATGTACTTAGTACATCTATGGTTGAACATACCGGTAATGCAAATAAATTCCTCAGTACATTTGAATTTAAATCATAGACAGTATTTGTTCTAAAAGTGCATGTCACTTTTAACATACTGTAAAATACATTATTTTAGCTGGAATTAATTTTCGCTAAAAAGACTTTGGGTGTTGTATGGAATTTATTTTCACTAATTTTTGACAAGTTGAATGTAAAATATAGGAAGAAAGGTATATTCGCTGGATTTTATTTTCACTGAATCATTCCTTCAGCGAAAAGCAAAAAAAAAGTATTTTACGGTATCTCATTACAAGGCAAAGTACATGGCATGCACAGATGATGCTTGACATTGTTTACTGAATTAAAGTTACGGGTAAAAACAATGGTCAATATTTTGGCAAGACATGGTACATGTTTAGGGATATAAATTGCCATCTTGAATATCTAGCATGCTTGCAGAGAATTTTTCTTAGAAAAAAAAGCTTTTCAATAGCAGAAATGAAACTACCCCCAGTGTGTTTTCCCAGTTATGTCATTCATTATGTTGCATGCACTGCTTTATGTTTCATTCATTAAAATAATTCGCGTTTTTAAGACAAGTAGGTGAAATAACAATAACATTACCGTAACTGATATTTTACTTTTACTTTAGTTTTATATGTATTGTACTTTATTACTAACATTTTATAAATAATACAATACAATAAATTCATTATTATTATTATTATATTTATTATTATATCACAAGTGTTTGTTTCACATTTGATATATATTTGTGTCAAGCAGCAGCTCCAGACATTGGATCTTATTGTTGTCTCTCCTGACTTTTTGTGTGTGTGCAAATTGAGGTCACTGGAAAAGTTTTCAAGACACACAAGTTCCTACTGCTTTCTATTGTTTTGTTTCTTCATATCTCAAAAGAATTAAAAAACGTCCAATATTATTACGGACTCTAATAATTTTGAAGCATCCTGAAAAACTGTAGTCAGTTTTTCTGTGCAATAACATGCTCAGTAGTACCAAATTTGATTACGGCTCAAATTGCAAATTGTGCTTTACCACCATGAACCAAGTGCATTCAAACACAAGTACTTGTAGATCTTAAGGTTTCCCCATGGAATGTAATGGGATATTACCTTTCATTGTTTCCCCAAAGTCGCATACATTAATTAATTAATTAGTGTTCAACCCAATTAGGATTTGAACTGTGGTCTCCTGATCATGAATCTGATGCAAAAACTATGCTACACAGTATATAAATAAGTAATACTATAATCGGCAGACTATGCTCCGTGGTAATACCAGGTACATTACTTGGGGTTTGCAACTACGGTGACATGATATCAAGATCCCGTTTCAATCTCACTCTCGCATAAGCGTTCCAACTCAGAAAAATGCCAATGCACATGCCCGAGATAACTAGGATACTGGAATGTCCAGGTGGATCAAAATAGCTGCTCACGATATGACAGATTACGATAACTATATTTTCTGTACATTTTCGATGTATTACATTTTTTCACTATGAATGTGGTAATACATTTTTTATTGTTTTATTACAAACCGCCTATATCATGTCAGTAGGTCGTAGCATCAGTCTAGCTATCTACGAGATGAGACTTTAATGGGATCTTGGCATGATGTCACCATACAGTACTATGCGCGTTGCAAACCCCAAGTAATGTACCTCTGGTAATACTTATACATGAATGCCATAAAAAGATGCACAAAGAAAAGTGTTTTAATGTGATGTAATGTGACACACAGCCATAAAATGAAGTCATGCATCGCCATGCACATCTGTATCACATTTCAAACAAGTCCATACAGGTTTTTACAGACGGTTAATTGTTTTGTTTTCCTTGTCACATTTATATTATTTATACCATACTTTATGAAATGGCAAGTTTATTTAAAACTGGAACATGGTGAACTTACTTGAATAATAATGATGATTTTTTTATTTATATTAGTGGCCGTACTGTAAGAAACGATGTACTTACTGTAACTTCAACAAATATATAAAGTAAGTAGTATGTTTGACCCTTTGAAATTAACCGTTGTCACATTTTTTTTCACACAATATTTTTCTTTCAAATTTTCCAAAAATTTTAATAAAGACCTTTAACCAATGAGAAATAATTTCCATTTGATCCAAAATTAAAAAAAGAAAGTTCAGAAAAACTTCATAAAATGTGCAGAATGTTGCATCTAAATTTTACCAGGAAAACATTTGGTGTTCAAAAAGTTAAATTTTGCAAATGTTTACTGCTATAAATTGTCCTGTATCTCCCCAAATGTGTGTTACACTAAATTAACCTAATATATACTGTAAAATCATTTATTTTCACTGACATTTAATTTCACTGTTCAGATGATTTGAGCAATTTCACACAGTTTTAAATTCACAAACATGGCAGGGACACAATGAGTTCTATTGTTATTCTACAAGTTCACTTATCAACAACAGCGAAATTAAAAACCAGCAAATAATTAATACATCTACAGTAGATTTATTATTTTGTTTTTACTCATAGCACCACAGTTGTTGCAACACATTATGTTTGATATGGATACCGTGCAATGTATTCAACAGGTGTATGACAAAACTGAAGTGTTCACGTTCAATCCAGTACGTGGCTCACATAACCTTGTTTCTTTTCCCAGCACAAACATTGACCCAAGAGAGATGAAACGTAACCTTGTTAAGAAACTCAAACTTTATTAGACATAAGCCAGTGTGGAAATATGTCACATCTATATTTTTTGGAGGAGGTAGGTTGTCATAGAAACCTCTATTTACTCATTAGATTTGAGTCTGTGGAGTCAATGTATTGTGAGAATTTTGTAACATACAGTAAGTTTCATTAAGGCATGAATGGTCTTTATGCAAAATATATAAATTATGTTTAAAACACTCAACCAATAAAACCCCTGTGCTTTATTAAAATCTGCTTTTGTTGGCTGAACAAATTTGGTAACACCCATTACCCACAAATCTTTGCAGGTTTCTTTCAATCATTAGTCGATTTATGTGCTTGAAATATATTCTGTACTTGCAGTTTGTATAATACAAACAGGTACAAATCATCATTTGACATTATAAAATATTGATATATTTTTTTTCAATATTTGTATAAAATATTTAAATACAAAGAAACATGTTTTCATGAATAATAAAATATTGTTTCTACATTTAAAAATACTATTCAGAATATGGATTTATCAGTAAGATAATTGATTGGTTCTGTAATATCTTCTGGCTGTTTACTATTATTAGATTCAAATAGAGAAATCATCTTCAGAGATTCAGACCAAATATGCACTGAATATGTACTGTCTTTGTATCTAGGTACACCAAGCCTGGCCGAGCCATCGACAATTGCTGCTATTATTGAGACTGTTAACAAATACTCCATCATCTCCAAGCCCCTTGAGATTACTCTAGAAGCCAATCCAACTAATTTAGAAACAAAAAAACTGCGGTAAGCATCTGATTATTCATACTAGACTAGTTCCGCTTTTAGCCATGATTTCAGCTTGTACCAGCATCTCAGATACATTAACCTTTTCACCACCAGTTTACAAATTCATAAATTATTCTTGTTTATCGACTGCATTTTTTGGGACAAAAATAGCCAAATTTTTTAATAAAAACTGAAAATTGACTCAAATTTTTTTCTGTTGGCTCCAAAATTAGGGTTCATTTCCAGAAATATTAAAGAATGCATTTGGGCAAGGAAGTCTGGTTCTGAACAATGCATGGCTCTCCTTATCAATGTTTTTCACTTTCCTGATTCACAGTGATTTCAAAGCTGCTGGAATAAACAGACTATCACTCGGCATTCAAGCTTTAAACAA